TCATTTTAAAATAAACAAAACTCGGGTGCAATTTTGAGAATATATAAAACCTAAAAAATCATGGAATTATAAAGTCAGTGTTGTCATTGATTTTTTTTGTATTAAACATGTAAGTTTTTTTATCTTCAGGATGGCAGCCTCGCTGGTTCGTCTTAGAGAACGGAGTCATCTCTTATTACGACAGCGAGGATGATGTTGGCAAAGGAAGCAAAGGATCCATCAAGATGTCCGTATGTGACATTAAAGGTTAGCTCCTCTATATCTCACCCATTCTCTCTCATGGTGCCACAAAAGCAAACATATCCATCACACTAACGCTCCTCATATTTTATGTCTCAGTTCATCCGACAGATACGACCCGTCTAGAGTTGATAATCCCTGGTGAACAGCATTTCTACGTACGAGCTGTGAACGCTGCAGAGAGGCAGAGGTGGCTCGTGGCTTTGGGGTCATCCAAAGCTGGGACACTGGACAGTAACAAACACAAAGGTAAGTCTGCAATGTCTGCTCTTTTTTCTCAGGATTGATCCGTTGGAAAATTACCTAACAAAAACTGGAAACCATTTCAGTCAGCAACAATTTAGAATAAATTACAAAGTAAAAGAACAAGCAGCCCAGTCTGCTAGTTCAATGTTATTCTGTGCGTACTTCACCACATGTCAGCCACAGGACAGCTGATGTGGCATAGAGAGACTTAAGAGGAAATGGTTAGCAGTTCAGAGATATTTAACAGCTGCTACACCAGCAGTTTTATCTGCGTGTTTGCAAAAACTGCAAGCTGAGGTCAGGTGAGCCGACACCATTGAAAGACTCAGACCACCGTAATTCTTTGGCTTATCTCTCGCGCTCGGTCATTTTGTTTGGTCAGAGAGACAATATATAAAGTGAGAGTTTTATTACACTTTTTGTTACATTTACAGTAACAGCACCTTATAAACAGCTTGATTAAATATTTCACTTCTGCTATCTATTGGCAGCTCTGTATATGATTTGTTTGCTAAATGAGGAGGTTTAGAAAAAGGTCATTAATTACAGACTTAACCATTCATTATTGTATGTGAACATGATTCTCCTGTTGATATTACTTTATTTCATTCTGGAATTGCAAAATAAGATGCTCAGTGTCTTTCATCCTGTGAGAGACTACTGTTGTGTTTTTTGATTTTATTTAATGGGGGCCACACAATATGCATTACGGAGTGTGGATAGTGATATTGACTATTGGTCATCTCAAAATCGAATAAGACATGGAGAAGGGTCGTCCAACTCTGCAACCCTTCCATGTACATTATCATGGAAATCTAGTTGTTTAAATATTTTAACATAAAACAGAAGTGAACAGTGGCATCATTTAGTTGATTCAGGTACACATTTATTAAAGTTTACTGAACCCAACACTTCTGTCTGTCAGGTCCAGACTGTCTGAAGACAAAAATGTCTGAACTCCGCCTGTACTGTGACCTCCTCGTCCAGCAGGTCCAAACAATCCAATCACAGTACAGCGCTGACTCAGAGACCGCGCCGACTTCTGAGGTAAGAAACGGGGGTTCTTTTTACCTCAAACTTATCTTTACAATATTTCAAAGTTAGACTCAAATTATAAGAGTTTCTTTTTTCAGTACTTAAATGATATTATTTTGCTTTATTGTGTATATGTGAAAGAAATTATTTAAAAAGGAGGCATTTTACCATTTAAAAAAAAAAAGGAACCTTTAGTGCACACAAAAGACCCATCAGGCAGAAAGATGTCTAAAATTAAATCAAAATTATTTCTCAGTTTGAAGCTTGAAGGTATGTGAGTAAAAAAAAAAAAAGATGATTGGTTATTCGTCTGTGTGTCTTCAGGCCTCGCTCCTCAGTGCCACATGTGCCACTTTCATCAGGACTCTGGAGGAGTGTATGACCCTGGCCAATCACAATTTGACTCCTGACCTCCGACCTCCTGAAAGGGTAATTTCACCTTCTCTAGCTAATCAAAAGCCTGTAATTTAGGTTTAGATTAATTTAAAAAAAGGTCAATAATATCTATTTTCTCTAACTCAAAAGTTGTTTAATTATTCAGTTACAGTAGATAAAAGATGTTTAATACAACATGAGTAATAATATTCAAGAAGAAACATCCTCAGTAAAATAAAATACAATTTTGTATCTTTGTTGACACGACCGATTTTTTTCATTTACATTCCTATGGTTTGTTCGAGTTTCACAATGTGCCCGTGATGTTCAGCAGTACAGAGTGCTCTGGTGCACAAAACCAGAGTCATTAGGCGTTCTGTAATTGGATAGAAATATTGTGTAGTTGTAGACTTGGCAAATAACAGTGTGGCATAATTGTTTTATTGTAGATTTTATTTTGTACTCATACACTCAGGGTAAAACATTGAAGCAGACGTGACAGGAGAGGTTAAGAAAACACTTGACCTCGAGCAAAATGTTATCTTCACTGATTAGTTTACTATATTTTTACAGTAAGAAAGAAATCGAACAGAATTCAATAAAAATGTTACTTTGATCTTTTACTTGTTTAATTTATAAACAGACCAATACTTTTTTTATAAGGTGATGACTCTGTTTTGTATTTTGAAAGGTGCACCAGTCACTCAGGTTACCCTCACACAATGCACAAAAATGATCAAACTGTTCAGTCAATTTCCACTTTTAGTCTCAGACACTTTTCATTTCCTTTTACTTATTTTTGTATTCTTTTCACTGTACTTTGAACATTGTAATACCAATACCTACAGGCATAATAAAAAAATCTTAATCTGCAACAGAATAATTCCAATAATGCTCAAGACGCAGGTATTTATTTAGACGTGCCAGATGGAAATAAAAAGTTAACGAAGTGGCTTAAAGTCTAAATGTTTTCTCATTTTACAGCTCATCGAGGGATCAGAGATATTTAGAACAAAAACAAAAGTGAAGGTCTTGAAATTGTTATCAGGTTTTAATTGAACTTAAAAAAAATCTAAATGACCAAATGTGTCACTTTCTGTACAGATGAAGCGGTCAATCAGTCACCCTGGAACATACAGCTTTGACAGGTGAGTGAAACACGTACACAAACCATCATGAATTTAAAGTTGTAACAAAAAAGAGGTGACTTAAATTCATTCAAAGTCACATTTAAAGTTTCTTGTAGACTATACTCAAGTTTGTTTATGAAGCATATTTATTACAAACATGTTGCTCAAAGACCTTTACGTGGGGGAAAAAAACCTTGGATGCACCAGGGGCGATTCTAGCTTCAAACTTTTATGCAGGCTCAGCCTCCAATCATAATGTCATGCACACAATGCCTTGCAGTTACAGCATTGTGTTACAACTTGCCTTTAAAAGCAATTCAATTCAATGCGTTTTCACAGATTTAAAAGTAATAAGCTGGTTTTAGGGTGGATCGTTTAGTCCGAGGCAAAGACTCGATCAGAGTTTTCAAACTAGAATTTTTAGGAGGAAGTTAAAGAACAATAAAGTAGAAACAAACATGCACAGCATTGTTTCAGTATTACTACTTAAAGTAAAATTATTCAGTACAGACACTGAAAAATCATCCTGGACAGGAAGCAGACTTTTACGTGAAAGTTTTTGAATTTGTACAAGCTTTCAATCTGACCCTGTTCTCCAAATAAGAAAGGAATTACTGGAATGCTGATTTTGGCCTCCAGGAGGCAGAAATGTAGTATTTTAAATATGTCAATCTGAACTGGCATAACTCAGTGTAGACTTTACTATAGCAGGTACTGAAGAGTACTGGAGGATGGACACGTCACACACTAATTATTATTGTCACATATTGGCATTTTATAGTCCGTGTGCAGTGCTTTGCACACACGTCACCTTCTGACAGCAGAGTCACCATCTACCTGAGAGCTAATTCAACAAAGTGACTTGTTTTGTGTGTAGCATGATTGCCTTTAAAAAAAAAAA